CCCAGCCTGGCCACCCCTCTCCCCCGCGAGCCTAAAGCCCCTCTTCTCTACTCCGTCTTACATGTTCGAGCGACATGAATTTATAACTCGCAACGGCTGTGCCCCTCCCCCTCTTCCGCACCGCACCGCTGCTGCATCCCCCTCGAGGGGCCTAACTCGGTCCGCGTGTCCCCCACTAACACCGTCACCGCCACCCCTCGGCGTCGCCGTCGCCTCCTGCTCTCCCTGCGTCTCCGCACAGCGACACAAAAGGCTAGCGGAGCGGGAAGATATGAATAAACTACCGCCGCCACAAACTCTTCCGCGGTGACTAAACCGTCGTCGTCACACGAAATCTCACTACGCTAGTTTAGCGCTAGCTCGCCCTCGTCATCATCGACTTATAGATCTTTCTCGGTGGCTCTCGACTCATGGGCGACTCCCCGCCGCCCGCAGCGGCTGCTATATGGCAGAGTCAACCTACTTGCTACAGCACAGTGACTCACAGGCCCGGCGGGACGCAGCCGAGAGGAGAAAAAGGGAAGGTGGTAGTAAGGTCACACACATGTGTGTGTGTGTGTTTGCACAAACACGGAAGCGCGGAGGTCGGCGCACTCTGTCTTCTCTTTCAGGCTCTCCCGCGCGAGGATGAGAGTAGAGTGCTCGGATGTGCCTCGCTGTATCTAGTAGCCACAGCCACAGGCTTCGCCCCTCCGTGGGAGAGTCTATCCTATCGCATTGTCTGCTTGCTGACCCGCATAATGCACGAGGCGACGCGTGGCGGGGCGGGGTGCGGCGGGGGTCTCGGCGGGGCTGGTCGTCCTTGAAGGCGATGCGCTGATCCCATGGTGCATCCACGGCCTCGCCCTCAAAGCCAGCAGGCTGCTACCGGCTCTCTAGAGAGGGGGCCGCGCCGAGCAAAGCCCATGTATACCGCACGTCGTTGTAGTTTTAGTGCGGACGAGAGTAGACGATTTTTCTCCGATTATAGATCAGTGCTGACATACAAGAAGTGCTCATGAGTTGATGATTGAAAAGTCACCATCGTGCCAGTTTTCTTTGGGAGTGACGATATCATGACCTCCCTTCACTTCTGTTGCACGACGCTACGATTCCTAAGGTTATCCTCAGAAAAGCGTTACCCGTTCTCAAAAATAAAAACGAAATGTGACGTGTTTGTTTTGGGCAAGACCCCTTTACGATGAACGCGTGAATCACCACACCGCGGGCCGGTCAGCAGCGCCGCGTGCCGTGAGTCACGCCGGTTTGGTGGTGACGTGGTGTGACGTGTAGTGACGCGGCGGTGACGTCCCCGTGACGACACGCAAGGGCGTGGCGGCGCGCGCGCCAGCCGGCAGCCCCACCTTTGAATGTGCTACATGCTCGGAGGTCATGGCCGTGACGGCAAGCCGCTGTGGGTCCACCGCCCGCGCGGCGGCCAGTGCGGGTGGACTCGCAAACTGTCACAAACTCGACTCCACAGCCATCTCTCTCTGTCCAGTCCCCACTCCGTACACCGATGCTGTCTCTCTCGCTCTAGAGCGAGAGCTCTCCCCCGCGTCCGTGAGGCCGCTGCACCCTAATGGCACATACGCGACACTAATTGAGTTTCCTGCCGCCGAGATACATTGGGTTTGCGATTCAAATGTCCGCTTTGCGTCGAAAACACAAACTCTCGGACGGAGTAGAGTTGCTTCTTGCTGACTGCGCGCGAGGTGGGCAAGAGATCGGCGGGTTGGACTTGGTGAATTGAGAAGTGGGCGCCGGGAGGTCCTCGTTTACGAGGGAAGAGAGAGCGAGAGAGGGGCGAGCAAGAGGGAGCGAGAGAGACCAGATCAATACAGCAGCACTGAGCCCCCACAGCCCCTTTACAGCGCAGGGCTCATGCCGGGGACCGGGAGACCGCTGCTGGGGCCTGCGGGGCTGGGCGTACCTCCACCCCCCC